GGCCTTACCCGTCAAGCGAAGGTCAGCTCAGGTTTAAGGCTTCGGGAAGCCTAATCAGTAGGAACAGCGAGCACTTGAGACTCTCTGGGCCATTTAATAGTAAAAACCAAAAACCACAACATCGTTCTCAGAATCCTCACCTCAATCTATTGGCTTTGATGAGAACGTTCTTATTCTAGGCTCTCAAGGAACTTTGGGTTGGTTGGCTTGGTCGGGTCACGGAGAACTGAAATGCACCTGCAGAATTTCCTGACTGAGTGCCCTGTTTTTCCCTTTCTCCAGGTCTATCATTAGCAGAAGATTTTTCTGCATAGTCGGCACGCTGTACCTCTACCGCTGTATCACAATGTATGTAACCACACTCCCGGTGCCCGGTATGCATTTCAACTGCTCTCCGAAGGTAATCTTTGCTCACTGTGATTTTCCCTGTGTTTTCTGTCTGTCCTCCGGCCCAGGGGTCCTTTGACTAAGGCCGAAGGTGGAAGTCTCTCCAGAGTGTAGTCAAGGCCCCCCCGCCCGTGTCCGGGAAGGTTACTGAGCAGTATGGCCCGGTGCCCACCCCCTCCCCCCTTCCCCACATCTCCAGGCCCCGCCAGTGCGCCCCAGCTGGGAGCATATGTGGTCTGGTGAGTGCGCTGGAGGCGGTTAAGCCGCGTGTGTGGGTGTAGCTCTTTGCTTTTCCTGCCAAACTTTTAAAATACCATTCGCTCCCTTGACACAGATCCAAGAGCTCGTATGTGCTTTTTTCCCCTCTCTTAGGCGGAAGGTTCGGCCTCCAGTGATATTTTTTCCTTCTTTCTACTAATCCCTGCGGTGGTCATCTCTAACGGCAGAGCAGGAGACGCTGTCCCCTCGTGCCCTCCACCCACCCGAACGAGGTCACCGCTCCCCAGAGGCGCGTGTGGCCCTATCGATCTCTCTGGTGGCACAGAGACCTTTCGCTGACGTAAACCGTTCCTCTCTTACCGTCTCTGTTTTTCCACCCGGTTCACAAAATAACTTTTACCTTGCAATGCTTCCAACTAGGGAGGTCACTGGAACTTTTGAAATAATTAGCAGAAGATGGAGTTGTAAAAATGTTGGCTTGTAGCAAAGCTCTCAAGCAGTAAGGAGAGGCTGGCGTCCTCGGTGAGGCTGGGAGAAAATACGGGGTGCTCCGATGTGTTTGGAACGATTCTTTTTGCATCGCGCTGATGTTGGTAAAACACCCATGTCCTTTGAGCTCCCTCCCCTTCTATAAAGTTTCTTCTTTCCAGAAGAGAGAGTTTCTCTGCTGGAACCATGAAAGAGAGCTGCAAAACGTATTGGATTTTTGAAGCGGAGTCTTTATCGTTTGAAGGTTTGGACCCCGTTATGTTACGTGCTTACTTACCGGTCTCCCTTCTGAGACTCAGGCGTGTGCTCAGGAGGGTGGCTGGTCCCCTGCTTCTCTCTTCCTCTGGTTCACTTCAGACTCCTCACCCTGGAGAAGCCGCCACAAAGAACAAGTGGTCCCAGCTTCCGCTCGTCCCTCACAGCAGCCCCACCGCCCTCCCCCTTCCACCTCGTCCCCTCTTCCTCCCAGGAGGCCAGCCTCCCTTCTGCGGCCTCCAAAAACTGAGTGCCTGCCTGGGGCTGCCGGGCTGTAGGAAATATGTTCTCCGCGAGGCTCCAGTGATGCGCGTGGACTCCAGGGGGGGGGGAGGCTGGCGATCAGCCGTGTGTTCTCAGTAGTAGGCTGACAGTTGAGATGTATGTGCCTAAGTTGAGTTCGGCTTCTTAAAAAAAAGTCTGCACGTCAGGAAGCGTTTCCAGCGGGGAGTGGGGTGCGCTCGTTGAGGTAGATGGGAAGTCTGGCCGGGCCCACGGACCGGGTCGGCCGTGAAGGACTGTGCCGTGCGGCCACCCCCCTGCCCTGGCTCCCGCTCTGTTTCTCCTTACGGCCTCTCTCTGCCATCGCGCCCGGGCCGGCCGGCCCACGCCCGGGGCCCATTGGCACTCACGGCCTGCCTGAGTCATCGGCAAATCCAGCCAAGGTCCTGCGGCTATAAAGAGTTGTGGCTTTTCTTGGTAAAAACAAGAGGTCACAGCAGGAACCGTGCCAAAAAACAAAACCTCAGACGTGCCTCTGGTTTATGGTGTTGCCAGAAATCCCGAGCGGGGCCGTCCCTCGTGATCTCGTGATGGTCATTTGGAAACTGGGAGTTTTTCAATAAAAGAACGTGGGAGGGGATGAAACGTGAGTACAGCTTAGCAAAAAAAGTGAGCACAATTAGTTACAATGTGTTAAATCTAATTCCTTCTTTTGTAGAGCAGGCTCGTGGAAGAAAGGATTCAGAAAATAATTTTTATTCTAAAACCGTTCATACGCATCTCCCAGGGCAGAGAACCTCACGTGTGGAAGCTGTACGTGCCCAACCCCCCAGACGCCGTGATTATCAAGAGTGGCTACGTTAGCTTCATCTCGTTTTATTTTGACGTATTTAAAAAATTAAAAGTACATGTGTATTTTTTAAAATGTTTTTTATTTAGTTTTGAGAGAGAGAGGGAGAGAGAGAGGCAAAGCTCGAGTGGGGGAGGGGCAGAGAGAGAGAGAGGGAGACACAGAATCGGAAGCGGGCTCCAGGCTCCGAGCCGTCAGTGCAGAGCTGGACGTGGGGCTCGAACTTGGGAACGGCGAGATCATGACCTGAGCTGAAGTCGGACGCTTAACCGACCGAGCCACCCAGGCACCCCTTGAGGTATTTTAGAACAGACCCCAGGTAATGCCATTTCATGGCTATCTACTTTAGTATGCATCTGAAATTTTTGGACATTTTATTGATAACTTTCATGTTGTTGGTGTAGTGAACACAATCAAATGTCATTCCTCGGTATCGGCAGTTCCCAGTTCGTAGACCCATCTTGGTTGTCTTAAAAATGCCTTTAAAAACATCAGTTTGGGGGCGCCTGGGTGGCTCAGTTGGTTAAGCAGCCGACTTCAGCTCAGGTCATGATCTTGTGGTCCGTGGGTTCGAGCCCCGCGTCGGGCTCAGTGCTGACAGCTCAGAGCCTGGAGCCTGTTTCAGATTCTGTATCTCCCTCTCTCTGACCCTCCCTCGTTCATGCTCTGTCTCTCTCTCTCTCAAAAATAAATAAATGTTAAAAAAAAAATTAAAAAAAAAACATCAGTTTGTACAAGTTACAGGAGCCAACTTCCTTACATTTAGTTGATCTGTCTCTTAAGTCTCCAATTCTAGGGCAGTACTCTCTCCTTTCTCCCTTTTTTCTTGTTTGAAGCCCATTAGTAACCCATGGAGATCAGACAGGCTATTCCGTGGGGTATCCCACGTTCTGGATTTATCCGGTTTTTCCTTTGTAGTGTCGATTAGCCTTTTTCTCTCCTCCATTTTTTCTCTAAATAGAAAGTTGGCTCTGGAGACTTGATTCCAGTTCAGTTGTGACTCTGTCGGCAGGAACGGTCCCCAGGAACAAGGGAATGGTTTCTGATGCTGGACCGAAGAGTCGGGGAGGCCGGGGCTGCCCCTGGCATGGCGGGCCAAGCTCGAGAAATCGAGTGACCAGTTGAGGACTAGAACGGTGTCAGAAGGGGGAGAAGGGGTGCTAGAGGGGGACCCTGGACATTAGCTTTGCTGCTTCAGAGCCCTGCCCACGGCTAATCAGCCAGGATTGAAAGGAGCCTCAGGAAGTCACCCCGCCCTCCATAGCCTCGCCTGCAGAACAGCCTCCCCCTGACCCGTTGCACAGAGAGGGAGCTTCTCACCCCATAAAAGGACAAACCGACCGAGTAACGAGTAGTGGGAACAACTGAGGTCAGAGTCAGGACGGTCTCACACAGCCGCTTCCCAGCCAGGGCAGTTGCGTTGACCTTCTCAGTTCCCCAGTTTCCTTAGTGGCCGCACAGCACTAGTGACACTTTCTGGGTCTGTCTGAAGGAGCTCGGGGGAGACGGCAGCACGTAGGGCTCAGTCGACGGAAAACGCCAAAGGCAGGGTATGCTTCAACCCTACGCCCTCCCCTGTCCGGCGAACGTTCGCGTCACGGGCCGGCCTGCGTCGCACGCCTCCAGGGGCCGGCGAGCGAGGAGTGAGCGTGGGGGGCAGAGGTGCCTGTGTGGACAGCGCCTCGGCCCCCTGGTGCAAGCCCGCACCCGCGTGGTCCCTGTGCAGAGTGCTGCAGCGGCTGGTGCTTGGCCGTCCCCCGCAGGGAGGGCAGGAGGGCGCGCGGGTCGTACCCCTAGGCAAAAACCTGACGTGGGGAATGAGGGTTTCACAGGCCCCTTGGGTCTTCCCACTGGGATAGTTATGCGTGAGGCGCTTGGGAGACCCCTGAGTGGGGCGCCGTCTAGGACGGTTAGTGGTACGGGGTCAAGGTTGGGCGAGCACGGGAGCCGTCACGTTCTGCATGCGGGCACATGAAAAGGCCCGAGACAGGGCGGGAAGTAGAGCCTCCAGAGGGGAGAGCTCCCCACGTGACCCCTTTCCCAGCCTGTCGGTTGGTGTCCCTCGCACGGTGTCTCGGCGTCATTCAGCTGCGTGGGACGAGTTGGGCCGTAGAAGACGCTTTGTGTGTGACGTCGTCTGGCGGTTCTGCCGTCATGTTGGGAGTCCTAACGCCGGTGCCCAGGACGTGGGGCTTCCAGGAGGAAGGGCCCGGCAGGCTCGCGGCACTCAGTACGCTCATCTCCTGGCCGTGTGCTCGGCACTCGGCAGGACCGTGACGGGCGTGTGCGGTGACCAGGGCAGGAAGGACAGCGGCCTCCGTCAGTGCTCCCGCCACAGAGCTGAGTCCCCCTGGGGACATGCAGAGGGGAGTCGCGGTGTGCAGCTGCTTGATGAGGAGCTCCTGGGACGCACGTGTCCTGTGGCCTAGCGGACACCAGCCGGTCACGCCGTCGGCCCTGTTACCGTCATCAGAGCTTTTCTGCCAGGAGCGTGTGAACCAACCAGAACACAGCCTCCTGCCTCTTGTTCCCGCTGTTTCAGATCCAGTTTTAAAAAAGAAAAGGCTACGGCAAATATTTGCGAATACTGTGGTGTCCTTAGCTTTCCGTATGAACGTTGGCTCTGACCGTCGGGGCAAAGGAAGACCCGCCCCGGGCCCCAGGTTCGCGCACAGCCCACGGCTGATGGAGGAGGTACCGTGGGCTGTTTTCAGCTCTCTCGCCAGTCACCCTGCGAGGGAATCCGTGGCTCAGATCACGTTGAGGTGCATGCTGGGCTCTGCTGTGTGGTCTCCGTGGTGACCTTGGAACAGTGAGGGTCACGGTCACGTGGCAGCAAGGGCACTCGGCTGGCCGGTGCCGTGATCTGACACGGCGTCTTAGTGACGTGGTTCTCCTCAGGTGCAAAGTTGAGTTTTCTTCCCTGCACCCCCGCCCCCGTGCATTTGAACGTGGCCCGCCGTTGGACAGGCTGTGTT